CTAATAAATGTGGCGTTCTGCCTTATTCCCCCTGAAAAGATCCTGTGCAGTACTTTAAGTACAACTTACGCCTAATTTAAAAAAAAAAGTACTTAACTGAGTTATTTTAACTCAGATAAAACAGTGAAATGATTAAACAAAGTTCTGAAAAAACAAGCCTGGCTCCATGACACAATCAAAAAGGCAGACGGCCTCCTACACCCAGGGTTCTTGCTGGAGTATTTGACTGCGGCCAAACAGGCAGTCAGTTGACCGGCTTGCCAAGCCAACTGGGACCCCCAGCCTGGGCCTGTCCACTGCAATCAGACGCAGGTTGATGAAGACGTTAGTCACAGTAAATTTGCCTGGCAAGAAGGATTCCAGGGACACTCCCAGCCTGGGAGAGACTAACACAGCTCAGAGCATTTCACCCCAGGCACAAGATCAACAGCTGGACGTTCAACCTAGCAATAAACAGCAGGTGAATAACTGAGAAGAACAGGAGTACTTGTGGCACCTTAGAGACTAACAAATTTATTAGAGCATAAGCTTTCGTGGGCTACAGCCCACTTCTTCGGATGCAACTGAGAAGAATGTGCGGTAACTTTCACCCAGGGACATGAAAGCCACAAGATGGCGCCAGAAACCATAGCAACAGGAAGTGACCTGTTGCACTAGGGGCCAGGAATGATGTAACTTAATTTACCTCCTACTTGCAGACTTTTCTTTCCCCCAGTACAGCAGCAAGAAAGAAACGTGCTAGAAGCCCTCAGCGCAGTGTAACCCTTTCAGTGCCATGAAAGAACAGCAGTGGGGTCACCCATAAGCGACACCCAAGAGAGATCTGAAAGGCCTGTCTAGTTGGTGACTAACCAGAGGCAGAGTTATTAGATCACGGTGGGTAAGAGACACAAAACCATTCTAAACCCTGCAAGAATCACTCCTGCTCATTTTCACCCTTCGGGGTATTTGCTGCTGTTTCCTTTTTGGGGTTGAGAGGAGTGGGACTCAAACCCCTCCAGACATTTTTGAGCACATCACTTTTTTTTTGCACCACAGTAACTCGGTAGCTGGTTTTTAAGCTTTTCCATGTGGCTGGCGCTCAGTGAGGAACAGACACGAAGTCTGGAAGAGTTAAGAAATGTGGCAGTTGTGATCAAAAAATGAGCATGCGCTCACCTCACTCACAAGGCAGGTCTCACCTGTAGATTTAACTGTGCAGTGCATAGTAGCCCACACCACTCACCTATAGAGCTGAGCAGAGAAGTCAGTGACTAACAGCTGATGGTACAGGCTGTCTCTACCATCCATCTCCAGGTCAGATGCCACATGTTCTGCGGAGCTCCCTGCACCCGTAGGCAGGGCCGGCTCTAGGTTTTTTTCCGCCCCAAGCAAAAAAAATTTTGCCTGCCCCCCCCCCCAGCCCTGGGGCTCTTACCCCCCCCCCTGCCCCCACCAGTGCCCTCCCCCACCTGCACCCCCACCCTGGGCTCTCCCCCCCCTCCACCCGCACCCCGTGCCACCCCAGCGCTGGGCTCTCCACCCCCACCCCAGCCCTGGGCTCCCCCACACCAGTGCTGACTCCGCCCGCTCCCACCTCGCCTCCAGCCGGTCTGGTGCTGGCAGGGTCGGGGTAAGCAGTGGGGCTCCCGGGCCGTGCCTCAGCCCAAGGTCCCTCCAGCCAGGGATCCTGCCTCCAGGACCGGCCGGGACCCGGGAGGGCAGAGCTGGGGGACTGCCCCGGCAGGGGGCTGAGGAGCCGGGGCAGGGTAGCCCCAGAGGGAGCAGAGTCCGGAGAGCGGGACGTGGGCCCTGCATGACAGCGCCCCGCCATCTTCTGGCTGCCCTGCCGCAGTCCCCGGATGGCTCGAGCTGCTTCGCCCAGCCCCGGCTGCGGCGCTGGGGGGCAGCCACCCTGAAGCACCTGCAGGCGGCTCCATGTGCCCCGAGGGGCGGCCCCCAGCCTAAGTGTCCCCCGCTCAGAGCCTGCTCGGCCCAGCCACAAGGTGCAGGCGCTGCTCCCCCACAGCACAAACTGCAGTGGCCCAAGGGCGCTCCCGCGCATGACGCTCTGCTGCTGCCAGGGTTGGCTCTAGGCTTTTGCCACCGGAAGCAAAAAAAAGGCCAGAATGCTGCCCCTGAAAACGTGCCGCCCCAAGCACGTGCTTAGTTTGCTGGTGCCAAGAGTCGGCCCTGCCTGTAGGAGTGTAACCAACCCTAAGCTCACAGGTCCCGCCTTACAGTGAGAGGCAATGCTGCCCATTGCAACAGCCGGCCATTGCAGCAGGAGCCGGGATTCAGGGCCCGTCTGTATCAGAGCAATTTGCACCAGTATAATCACAGTGACGCAGTTCCACCAGGGCAAACACCTCCTGGAGATGCGCTGGAGCAGCGTGGCTCACTCTGGTAACTCCTGCAGCGAACTGCACCCAGGCAAGCTCCTTTGTGCTCCAGTGCAGTACGTCTACTGTAACCGTTGCACCAATTCAACTGCACTGAGGTCATGACATCGGCACAGAGGATTCCTAATGCAGACAGACCTGGATTCACCCCCCTCTGCCAGCTGTTAAACCCTCCTGGGGCCCAGTGATCAGATCCCAGGGCAATAGATAAATCCCACCCCTGACAGTCTCACAGCCCCCCCACCCCAGACTACTGGCAGATACAGCCGGGCTCATGTTCACCTCTGCACTAGCATGTGCTGTCTGTGCAGCCCGGGGGAGTGAATGGTGCTAAGGGACCCTTCATGGCCAAGATCAGTGATTGGTGGGTTTCAACGCTGCGTTGATGGAGGGGTCTAGACTGAATTCTATGGCTCATTTCGATAACACGGCAGCACCTGCCGCCCAGCCACAGGCATGACCGGAAGATGCAGGAAGGCCAGGCTGGTACCTCAGAGCAACCCAGTGCAGGCAAAGGGTTCACTGCTGTTCTGCGCCCTGTCCCCTGGGACACCCTGGTAAGTGACTGCTTCATGGCGCCGGGTAAAGGTGACTTGGGTCCAAAGTGCTCAGAGCTGGGCCGGGGGACCTAATGTCAGAACATCCCCAGGAATCCTCGGTCCTAGGGGCAGAAGCCAGACAGGCCGGGAGGAGAGACTGACTGTGGTAGGTCCCAGGGGGGGATGAGATGCGCAGAGATCGCAGAGGGAGGGGAGGGGAAAGGATCAGGGCAGAAGCTGGGAACTCACCTGCCAGAGCAATGATGGCAGCGATCAAAGCAGACGATACAACTATCAGTGCAACCACAACTGGACAGGTTTGACTTTTCTTGCCGTTACGACGAGGTTCTGAAACACAAAGACCCGTCAGGCAGGGCCGCGAGGACACGTCACACTGACAGCACCAGGGCTGGAGCTGCCCTAGAACATGCCCCGTTCTGTCGATTGCTCCTCCCGTCAGACGCTCTGGGAGAGGAGCCCGGAGGCTCAGGCAGACCCCTCACGAAGGGCAGATGGAGGGTCCATGGCTCCCCAGGGGCTGTTACCAAGATCTGGCTCTGGCTGGGGAGCAGGGCCTCAGAGCGGCAGCCAGGCCATGGTAAGACCACAGCTGTGGGGAACTACAGACCCTCCCCCTGCTCTGGGCAGGAAGCCGGGGGGGCTAAGGGGGGGGCGGGGATACAGGCCAGGGGCTGCTCCTGGCTCCCCACCCCAGGCAAGTGGAGGGTTGTTCACAGCTCCCTGGACTCCCTAGCTGGGCTCCGTTGCCAGCCAGAGGCGGTGGGGGAGACCTCAGGGGGAAAAGGAGGGGGAGGGGCGGGACCGGTGACAAAAAGTGGGAGGGCCATGTCCCCTTCCAGCCCCCCAGGCAGTCTGTGTCTCTCTCCAGCCTGGTCCCAGACAGCGACGCCCCATTACCTGGCTCCCCTGCAGTCTGCAGGTGTCCACTGCCATTAGCATTCTCCTGCAGCAGCACGTCACTCTCAGTTGACCCAGGTGCTGGCCCCATTGTCTCTCTCAGACACTCAGGCTAGAGACACCGCAGCAGGCGCTGGGCTGGGGTCGATCCTCTCAGTCTAACTGGGTCTGATTCAGCA